ATGTATTTTAGATATTATATTTTAGTTTAAAAATATTATTTTGCACATAAGCTTAATTACTAAACACCCTGTCAAGAGCTGTTCAGATCAGTGAATTCCATCTGTAGTATTCTGGATGATGACCAGGTTCCTTTTAAATTCCATCTAAATGTTCAATCAGTTTAAGCAAAAGAAAATAATCTGATGGAACTACATCCATACCTGTATTTGCCATGTGTTTTATTGTGGTAAAAAAAACAAAAACAAAAACTAAATATCAGCGGCAAATCAAAAAGAAAACCTGGTTTTGTACTAGCATAGCCTCGAGTGTAAATTAAACATTTTTCCTTTCTTTAACTTTAGCTTTATTTGGGGTGAAAATGTAGGTAAGAATTGTAGAATATACTTTACATTGACATACAATTTTAAAAATTTCTGCTTAGAGATACTTAATACCCTGGACTTCTTATTTAAATGTTTTATTTTCTACCATTACCTTTTGAGATACAAAGTTATCATGAATGTCCTTAGAAAGAGAAAAAATGCTGAAATTCCTCAGGGCAACATACACAGACATGAGGACAACCTGTGGACTAACACCAGGGTAAACCAGGACACAGACTGGAGGAAAGTCTTGCTGCTTGTTTAGACATGTTCGGTAAATTTAACCTTTTTTTTTTTTATCGATCACAAAATTCACAAAAGCAGAACTGAGGAAAGCTCAGAGTCAAAACAGTGAATTATGCAGCTCCACGTTCAGTCAGACACGACCGTGTAATCCAGCTAAAATGAATCCTGCAGTTGATAAGAGTGGACATGTCCAAGTTCTACTGAGTGATCGCCAGTGACCTGATACGGAACTCTTTAGAAGTTCCTCACATGAACTGGACACTTTGGAAGCTATAACAGCGAAAGACATCGCCAACGATAAAACGCAACCGACCAAACAAGCTCTGATTACGATGGCATTCTCTTGTAACGCTGCCATTTCAACTCTGTGGCTGCCCCTGAAATGTGCACAGAACGAGAAGTTCTTCCAGACTGATTACAAGGGTCAGAGGGAGAGAAGAACAAGGAAATGAAATTGAAAAAAAATATCTATCTGGGATGTTGTGAAGTAATTGGTGGAATGAGGGAGGAAGGAAGAAAACCACAGGAGATAAAGCAGATCCTAAATCTCTCTCCCTCATCATACTAGTATCCTTCTTCATCTCTATATACTTAATTTCCTTTCTCCTCTTCCTTCTCCTCCTCCTCCTCTTCTGCAGCTATGACGCATTAATCTCTCTTCGCACGTTATCTTTATCTTTTTCTTCAATACACTTAAATATTTGCTCTTTCCTTGTCCCTATCTCTGTTCCTTTTCCGTCTTATCTCTCTCCACTGTAGTACTTCCTCCCACACTTGGCTTTATCTCTGTGATTACGTTCACATGCACACACGAAACCAGGTTAGTGTGCAAAAAGCATGCAGTGTATGCAGAGCTGTAGTCTTATTCTGACTGCGTACAACGTGCATTCATCAGACATTTCTCCACTTTGTCCTTTTTGGTTAATAGAAGGAGAAAACTGAGCAAAACTGCCCCAAGTGACAGAATATGCGTTACAATCTTGGAGCAAATCAACTCAGATCTGATATTAAATTAAGCTGCAGGGCAATAAATAATATCTTTTTAAGCTTCCCGTAGAGACACGGGATATCCTGACTGAGGCTCATGACTGTTGTGCAATTATGATAACAGTCCAAACAACACGTCTAAGGTGAGCTTTTTATATAACTGCGTCCCAAACTTTCTCTACTGTCTATCAATAACCACAAGAATAATTGCTGGATTTAATCACAGGCCATCGGCAGCTTCAAAAGGATTGTTATACAACATGTCCAAACTATGGCTCGAGGACCATCTTTTGAACATCTAAGTTATTGAATTAAATCATAATCATAATTATTTTTGGCATTTGAGTAGCTTTAGTGTTCAGGGGACAAAACGATTGTCACTTTCTTGTTCTTTTTATATATGGGCTAATCTTTAGCAATTTTGGTAGAACACTTTCTAAGCCAATGGAGTGTAAAACTGGTTTTCATATTTAAGTTGTCTTTAGGTCTGTGCTCTTAGATCTTAACAGTGAAGTAGGTCATACACTTTTTAATATTGTAATTTGCTTAAAAACTTTTTCCATGACAATTTTTTGCTAACCCATAGCTACTTTTGGTGATTTGGTTATAAAGTCTGGTTATTTTTTCACTATTCTATTTTTTATTTAGTTCGGCACATTCTACATTTTAGTTTTATTTTCAGTACATTTGGCAAATTTGACTAACAATTAACTATCTCAGTTGGTTTTCATTTTATTTTTATATTTAGTCAACTTTGAGCCCATTATTGACTTGATTATGTTTATGGTTAATGATTTTGAAAAACTATCACATCTGTCTTATCCATTTTCCAGCACATGGCCCAGTTATATTTTCCACACATCAAACTATCAATAAATGACAAAAATAAAAAATATCACTGAAGAGCTTCCTTAAAAACAGGGGGAGTTCTAATGATGAAGCAGCAGAAAGCTCCAAAACCGCTACCAAAAAGAGAGAAAAACAAAATACCAAGAGTGCTAAAATTAAAGTGCCTACTGTAAAAACTGAATTATTTTTATTATTCTTGTTATAGTTACATTATACGTGATGCACTTTATTGTGTTTTGTTTTGCGTGTGACCTCGCTCACACCCACAACCCAGCTGCTGGTCTGTGGAAAAACTGTCTTGCATGAAACCAATCGGTGGTGGAGACCACTGTTCTGATTTACAGCAGTGAGTTATTTAGTGAAGACTTTAACTAAAAATAAGTGACTGAGCAAAGGCTGTTGATAAATCAGTGAGTGTTTATCTGTTTTTTAAAGTATTCCTTTGGCGCACAGTAAACTAAAGAAAAGAAGATGGCTAATAATGGTACAGTAGGACGCTGATGGGTGTGGGTGTGAACACACAGAGACAGGACGCTGGACAAACTTCTATCATTAGGTGGTCTATAATGTTATAGACCTGAGTCACAGACCAGGTTTGAACGGAGAATAAAGACTCCTCTTAGTTGACGTCTATTCTAAAACAGAGCCCCCAGCTGCCCCCGAGTCCACAGACAACATCCTCCAACCTGTCAATCATATGAACACAAATCAATCACAAGACTGTGTGCATCACAAAGGCACCGCTTCCCTTGTTTTTGATCTTTGTTTGAGCCTCCATAGACTCAAACGGAGTCATTGTGAGAAATAACAATACAAAGAAACATTAATTGACGGGTTGCTTTTGTCCTGAATGGAGTATCTGCGGAATTAGAAGGCACCGTTTTGACTCACACCTCTCCTAGCTGTGTTCCTTCCCTTTTTCCTCTCTCCCTCCACTCGTCCCTTTCTTTCTTTTTTTTTTTTTCCGTACAAGACCTACTTATTATCTTTTACTGTTGTTTTCTGAACTTTACAAGGGGCCTCTCAGGCTCTGGGCCTTTGATGGGGTTGAAAGGAGGGTGCAGGGGACTTCTCAAACAAGAAAAAAATAAGAGGGGTTTAAAGGGAGGAATAAATGCTCTTGTTATGTCGCTGCCAAATGAAATTATTAAAGCCAGACAGCAGCAGATGGAAGATGAGGAACATCTTGTCACTAAACAAGCAGAGGGATTAAAAGTGGACTTTTTTTCATGTAAATAAAACGTAAATGGAGAGGAAAGACATAATCTGTGAAACTGGGATCTCAAGGTTTTCGTGATCTGAGAATGTTTCCGAGGAACTGGAGGCGTGTATTCATCCGGCACCACTGGAAGTTTCTTATATAAAATGGATTAGAAACAAATGTTTGCACTCATGTGGATATAATCAACTCCATGGCTCTGCGGCTGCTCTTTCAGCTGAGCAACGCTAGAGGATAAAAAAAAATAAAAATCCAAACTTAAACTCGCCGCTGTGTCTTTTTTCCAGCATGCGGTCGCAGAACTTGACGTCTGGGTGAGCTAAGAGCTTAGAGTTACAGAAAGTAAAGGGCGAAGAGGAATCAGAACAACGTTTCTTCCTCTTCTCTCCTTCTTTTCTACTTTTTTTTTTTTTTTTTTTGGGTTGCTGGCAGAAACCGTCAGCTTCCCAATCTGCTTTCAATTACCGGCAGAGGATGATGTTAGCCCTCTTCCTGTCCATTATGTCTCACACATGCAAACTCCAAAACATCCTGCAGTCTCACCACTGTCTTCTCATCCCTCCTCATTTATTTACTCCCTCTCTTCCAGCCTCCATTTACTCAGAGCTGAGTGATTCATTGCTGGAGAATAGCATGACCAAGGATAAGGGGGTCACTTCCATTCTTCCCACTTTTAAAAGTGGGTGATTCACTGGTCACTGGGATTTTTTTAAGTGCATTGGCAGAAAAATAAACAGACCCTAATGGCTGTTAGTGAGCTTTTATTTTCTTTTTGTGCTAAAAAGTGACAACACTGTTTAGATTATGACTGTGTTTGGACACTTTAATCTGAAAAAAAAACCCAAAACTTTGTGTTATATAAACCAGTAAACTTCCTCCAGGCCATTCAAAGTTTGAGACACAGCTAATGCTGATTACAAACATAGGATCCAATAAAGCTGGTGTCATTAAATATAATGCTATAAAGCAGGCAGGCATGTGAAGGGAGGGTCTGTTCAGTCCATGTGGCTCCTAATGACATTTTTTTTCTTTTTCTTTTTGAGAGTATTGTCTTGTTTGTTCCAAAGCTGGAGACGTCTTCTGCAGAAAGGCCACTTGATTTAGTGAGACGTCCGTGCAGTGGTCACTTGTGGTTCAGAACACCGCAGCAAAGAGTCCTCTGAACGGGCCTCATGTAAAACAAATCAAATCTTCATTTCTTTACATGGTCTTCTCATTAAACCGGGATGTTTTATTACAGGCTGCAGCCTTATATCACCGTCAGGCCTCTGAGGGTCGTCACATCAGGGCTCTCATCTAGCTCCAGAACAAACCAGTGTTTTTTGGCAACTCAACTGTAAACCTCGCTTTTTTTGGGGGTTTTTTGGATGCTGATTCTGCAGCGTTTATTGAAAGAATTTCTGTGACATGTGAACTTATTTTGCAGATAAAATCTGCTGCAGAACATATCTGGAGACTGTTTCGAGGGATCATCAACTAGTTTAAAAGGTCAGAATCCTTATCAGGTCTGGACCGGAGGAAAAATTAATGAAATGTATTTACTCTGACATTTGCCTGGCGTCAAAAAGTCTCTGTCCCGGAGACAAGAGCTCTGTGATGGCAGTGAATTTTGCCGTGTGGAACAGTGCTGATTGCTGATTGAATTTGCATGTTCATTCATGGGCACGGCTTCAATGAAGTAATAGGTACCGACCAAACACTCAGCACTCTTCATTATTACAGCTACAAAAGGCAGCGTTTTGTGATGTTTGCTCGAATCAGAAACAGCGGACAAATGAAAGCAGAGGTGAAGCAGGTTAAGGGTCATGACGAGGTGATCGTACCTTAGGAACATCTATGGCCACTTCCCTCATGGCACTGGGCTTCACCACAGACATGGCCCACTGAAGGTCCTGCAGTGTGACAGTTACAGTTCCCATCAGCTGCTGGTCTGATGGTCTGTTAGCAGCTCCCAGCGCTCGCCTCAGAGCATGCAAACCTGCAGGGAGAAGTCTGTGGTTAAAGTCTGGCTTTAATTCTGTACAACAAAGTGCAGCTGTTTGTATGCTATTATTAGCTATCTTTATAGTTAACGTTTTTACAAATTTGTTGTTAAATCTTATGCATTTCTTGGTGAATTCCAGGGCTACAAGCGACGATGACATTCAACCAAAAAATTTCTCATTATTCAAATGTTAGCAGCAGATTTAATTATAGTTGCCGGGAATATCTTTTGTTGTAAAAGTAGACCGTGGATTTTTACGAAGTTCATAAAGCCCCAGACTTCACGTGGACCACAAAGGATGTTGATGCACAAATGCCATCGAGAGTGAATAACAGAGAAAACATAAGACCATAATTGAAGGCATAAAACAGGGATGTGAAAGCAGTTTTTGTTTTCCTAAGGAAGCATCACTGGTGTCATTGAGGCTTGAGGCTTCTTTAATCCAAACCCACATGCACTCAGCCCAACTCTGCACAAGCCAACATTCACGCCGCTACACGCCGGGATGATACACACCTTACAAACGCAAATCTCAAAATGAACGCTAATTCCTTTTTTGACGGAGGAAATAATTGGCGCTGCATTATTGGATAGACAGGAGAGTGGGCCAAAAGGAAGGGAAGTATAATTGAAGTGCTTAGTTTTTGAATAGACAGTTACAGAGACCGGTGTGTTTCACCAAAGAGGAGTCAGCAAAACAAACAGTGATGTGTCAGTGACAGGAAAGAGCCTTTGTTGTGGAGTGAATTGACCGAAGGAAATAAATTCTGGGCACAGGCTGACGGGCTGAGGTGATGACTGAGCAGTGACACAGTACTAACTGAGCACTGTAAATTAAATGTAAAGTACTTTCGAAAATGAACACTGCAAAAAAATAGCCCAAAACGTTGGGACTGCAGGAAGGCCAGTCACAGGCACATGTACTGTGTGTACAAAGCTGGTCTGGTCTTTACTGTATATTTCCTGTTAAAAACCTATGATTGTGTCATCTTATCAGGGACCAACGTCTCTCCAAAATACCAATGTAAGCTGGTTCTTTTGCACTGATCCCTCATCTTACAGCTATTGTTGCAACCTCGCACCATTGCAGACACTGGCGCCTGAACTGGAAACATTCTGATTGGTCTGAAACATTTGCATCAAGGCCAACTGGAAGGGTTTGGTTTATTGAAGACAAGTCACCTCTCATCCAAGAGGCTTTCTTAGTTCATGTCTTTAACAAATCTAACCAGTCCAGTTGGCCTTGAAGTAACTGCTTCAGCAATGGTGATGTTGCTGACTGAGAACTTACACAGACATTCTGATTGGTCTTTTTTATCTTTGGCAGGAAGAATCCAATTTTACCGCTAACTGTGCGCAGGTGAGCAGAACCTCGGAGAACTCAAGTAGTTTTCCAAATAATGTGGTTTTAGGGTGGTTTCCACCTTAATGTGATGAGATGTCTCCTGACTCACGGAATCTCTCACAGTTATTAACTAAAAGTGTTTGCAATCCTGGGCTAAAAGAGTGTTTCTCTGCAATGTTCTCTCCTGAAGTTTGGGGAAAAGTGTTTAGCCCAGACCTACACTAGTGTTCAAAGGACAGACTTTTGGCGTCCAGCTGAGGAGCTTTAACCCCTACCCTAAGGTTGACAGGTCTTCTGTTGGAGAGTTCCATGCTTAATGTGGTCAATGATTAGAAGTTACAAATCCAGCCCACAACGCAGGTTGCGTAAGAGAACATTATAAATGTGTGTGTATACATATATGACAGGGACACACACAGGACTGAACCTAAGACTTCATCTACTGAGCTAAGGGGGGGTTGGGGGGGGGGGGTTACTCAGAGACAGCACAGACAAGACTTGAGGGTTTGGGTTAGTAAGGGCTAAAGGGGAACAGAGGTGGTCCAGGGCCTGGGGCCAGGGAGCAGAGGAGAGGGGATAGGATTTACGATCAGACAAGACTACATCCTGTTTATATTTTCTCTTCATCTGACTGAGTAAGTGATGGTCGGGCAGAGAGATGAGAGGGACACACTGAGTCCAAGCACATGTGTCCCGGGTCACTGTGTTCCACTTGCACATAATGACGTCTCCCTGCAGCTCTTCCACTCTTATTCTCGTTCTCCAAATCCCCAGAGTTCTAAACATCCCATCATTCTACCTGGCTGCAGCTTCAACTCCTCATCTGCATTAATGCTTCAGAGCCGGTGCTGCTCAGACTGCAGAAAAACATCTGGTCTGAGTGGAAGGGTAGGGGCTAGCAAAGGCCAGGATGTGGAAGGAAGCAGGACCTCGGAGGGAGATGAGGAACAGCAGAAGCCACAACACCATATGCACTAACTAACCCCAAACCGACAGCTGCCTGCCCTGTGAAGGTGTAGGACCCCGAAGGCCTCACTGCTGAGGACGTGTGAGAGAAGAGGAAGGGAAATCTGTGAAAATGCTTTACTGGAAACCTCAACCTGTGGCTCAAAACGTGTGCACGAAAATGAGCAAAACAGGTTTGAATATATACTACAGTTGTGTTCAAATTCTGGACCCCGGGACCAAATGTGGTACTTGCACAGGTTTTCTGTAGACACGTAAAAGGTGTCATAAGGACTTTTTTTTTTTCTTCAGGAGTTTAGGTAGGTGTGATAGCCGCTACACTGCAGAACCACACAGTTGACAAAACACCATACAATTCAGAATCAATGAGTGATTAAAAAAAGAAATCTGTCTGGATAAACCACTCATTTTGCCTTCATTAAGAAAACGATTGCCCAACACAAATGTCTTGAACACAGATAAAAAAAGTCTACAGCAGAACTCCAGCCTGAACACCTGGGCAGCAAAAAAAAAAAAAAAAACTCAACTCACAACGTGAATGTAACAATTTGCCTGAGGGATTTTCTTCCCCCGAGTCTGCACTGCTTTGGCTGACTCCAAGCTCATATTTGGTTTAGTTATGAAAACATCCGATGGGAAGGGAGTTGAGAAAAAAAAGAAGGCAACACAACACAATTTAATCTGAACCTTATGTGGACTCATTCTCCTCTCTCTCTCTGCTGCACTTTGTTCCATGATGCTTCAAATTCACCAGAGATCGAGTGGGAATTTGGGGAAAAGGAGGCCCCCCTAAATTCACAAGAATGCACATTTGCAAAACATCACAATACGTATGGAGAAAAGGGAAAACTAATTTCACAGAGCTGTAGGGTGAACAGGGGTCTGGGGGCGGGGGGTTGTTTTGCGGTATTTTAGAACACGGATGGTCTCAATTAAAAACACAGGGCATTAAAACAGACCCTTCCTGCAAATCAAGGCCTTGTCTCTAGGGGTCACTGACAACCTGGTCTTCATTCCTAAAAAGTAAGACGAACACTAATTTTCTAACATTATACTCAAAGACGCTGCAACCAGTGATGACAACACAGAACCAGGAGTTCCTGCACACGTGTGGACGGTGCTGAATGTCAACGTTGAATCTGTTGATCATCATATGATTCCAACCTCGGCTGAAGGATAACATACAGTATGTGTTCTACACTGTTTGCACAGTTTGATTATAGAATAAACAAAGATATTGGTGATGAACAGAAGGGTTGAAAACTGCTAAAACTCTGAACAAAAAATCCAGTTAAAATATGTCACTGCTGCTGATAGCTTTTTATTAGCGCAACCCAAATGCTGGTAAAAAGGTATAATAATGGCTACAAGTTTGCATAATAGTGTGAAAGTAGATCATAAAAAACATAAAGGGATCACTACAAGCCAGCTACGCTATATTTAGCAAAAAAAGTGCTAAATAACTTAAAATAAAAAAATAAACAATTACTTGAACACAGTTGATAAAACCTCAAGGGTAAACAAAACAATAGCAACATGCAAAA